ACACACGTAAATACTGGTCAGGATCACTCTGTAAAGAAATGGTAAACTGTACTATACTGTTCAGCCTCTAGCTGGCACTGTGTGTAAATACCTTATTTAAATGAAACTTAATCCTATGTGGCATAGCATTAAAAGGATCTTATGATGAACACATGTGGGCTGTGTCTACACTGGGCCACTTATTCCGGAAAATCAGCCGCTTTTCCGGAATAAGCTGCGAGCTGTCTACACTGGCCCTATCAGCCGCTATTCCGGAAGAACTATTCTGCTGCCGCTCGGGCATAAGTCCTTATTCCGGAACACTGTTCCGGAAAAGGGCCAGTGTAGACAGCCCAGTAGTCTTTTCCAGAAAAAAGCCCCGATCGCGAAAATGGCGATTGGGGCTCTTTTCTGGAAAAGAGCATCTACATTGGCCACAGACGCTTTTCTGGGAAAAGGGCTTTTCCGGAAAAGCAGCCTGCCAATGTAGACGCTCCTTTTCCGGAAAAACTGAAAACGAAATAGTATTCCGTTTTAAGCATTTCCAGAAATTCATGCGAGTGTAGACACAGCCGTGGAGTGTATAAGCAAGCTCTGTAGGCAGTCTGCATCTGGTCCTGGAACATGACACACTCAGAATTTTAAGGCAATGGCTGACTTGCTTATACAATATCTAGGGACTGAATCCTCTTTTTGTACAACGGCACATTCATTCATGATCTGCTCTGCTTTGATAACTCAGGAATTTTTCTTTTAAATCTTTGAAGACAGAGAAAACAAGGGTCCTGGTTCCATATTTCAGACTCGTACATTCATAACCTCATGTCATGTAATCGAACAGTGCCACTTATGGTCAACACTATTACACATGGTGTACTTATGGGCAGACCATTATAGCTGATTTCCAACCCCATATAGCTCCTTGTGTTATTCACTCTTGGCCAGTGGCAGTTTTGCTCCTGAATTTTTTAAATACCTAGCACGTGCTTGAAACTGTTTAAATGCTCACTTCAGGTATTGCTAACAATCATAATGTCAACAACACAGACTGTAATCCCTTGTTAAAATTTTTGCATCAGGCAAATGTTGATATAAACAAGTAGTCAAATTAATTTAGAGGAATTACATACCTATATGGCATTTCTTCTCCAAGTATAAGATTGTTTCCTAAAAGAAAAATCACCAGTGTGCCATTTACATTGGAAATAAAACCATCATCTAGGAGTCAACTACCCCAGGGTCAGGCCTCAAAACTGGAAGTTCATACTGCTATTTTAGGATGCATCTAAATCAGCACCCTAAATCTGAAATGAGATACGCAATTTGTGCTAAGCTATTTTGAAATTTGGCGTGTCTACACAGTGCCAAATTTTGAAATAATGCGCTATTTTGAGCTATCCCTTAACCCTCGTGCAACAAGTTTTACTGGGATGGCAAAATAGCATGCCCATTATTTAGAAAAATATTCCAAAATAGCTGTGCAGTGTAGACGTACCCTTATTTGTAAGAAATTAGAATAATATTATGTTTCCAAAAGTTTTAATTTCCTCTTTTTCTTGCCTACTACTACATATTAAGTGTATCCCAAACAAAGTCATATTGGTGACCTAGGAACTAGGAACAAATACTGTTTTGTTCTTCTATTGAAATATAATTGTACATGCAGTCGGAAAATATAATTTCAATCAATATTTTATGGCATTGTTTCCTTTCTTCATTTACACTGTAGTATCAAATAATGGAACATATGATAACCAGAACAAATAGTGAAAACTGAAGTTCAGGGAAAGATTCCTAGGTCTACTGAAGATTTCAATTTATTAAAATTATGTCCATCCTATATTTCCTACTCCTAGTAACAACAGACAAATCCTGCTCTCTTGGCTCATGCAACTAGTCCCACTTAGGTCAATGAGACTGTGTTGATGAATAAAGCAAATAAGATTTGGCCCAGTATGTGCAATCAATCTTATATTTCCTATCATGGTATTCTGAGACTAACTTCAGTTAAATCACCCGTCTCAGTTTCCTGCAAAATAATCTTCTGTGTCAATATCATCTGAAAAAGAGAAATGCAATTCACAAAATCAACTCTTATCCCCATATCCTTTCTCTCCATGTAGTTCTGTAATATATACAATATGATATTTTCCCTCCCTTAGGCTCTTAAATGAGTACAGACCTTATCTAAGAAGTTTTTACAGAATCCAGAAGTCAAAAATATTGAAAATAACTTCAAAATGATAAGTTTGGTAAGGAATTAGCTTCAGCTGCTAAATAAAAAATGCATTGATGGAGGAAATGCAAGGTGATGTCAATACACTAAAATAATTTATTTCACTGCATTTAACCTGTAAGAAAGGTAAAAGAGATGGGCTTGGAATTCTGACATATACAAAGAAGTGACTTCTGAAGAAGCAGTACTGAAAATCAGGTAATGCTCACTGAAGTCTAAATACAGTTGGACCAAAATTTGGTCCTAACCATCAACAAAATTTTCTTCTTTAGGGATTTTGGTCATGCAATAAATGATATGGTATCATAAGCTTAAAGTTTAACAGACAAATGATGAGTTGATTTTTAATCTGCCATATATTGAAATGGAAATAATATCATACCTACTTTTTGACATTTTCTGTTCCTTTCTGGGCAACTTAATTCTTTAAAAAGAAAATTAAAATTTCCTTTTCACTGTCATTGGAATGGCTGGCCAAATTCTGCTGTCGGTTATGAAGTTTCCATTTCATTAATTTTAACAGCCCATCATTTGTGCAAATGGGTGCAGTTCCTTCTCCCAACATTGATAATGGGATAAAACCTCTAAAAATTCAATCCTATTGCAAAATGTCATATCTGTGAATTTTGAAAGGGTTGAATTTCCTTGAAACAGGTTCTCCCATCTCTAGTGGATTACAGACATGGATTAAAAGCCCATTATTAAATATAGACAAGTTTCATCTTATCTGATCCATGAAAATACTATTTTGACCATAAAATAGCTGTGGTTATAGTAATAAGAGAAGTTATTTTCAGCAGTGTCCCAAGATAACAATAGCACTGTCATGTGGAATAGAAGATAACATTTTGTCATTACTATGTGCAGTGCACACAGAGAATAGAACACAGCACTTATAAGTCTTTTTTTTGGAGGAGAGAGGGGCACAGTAGTCTGATCCACCTTGTTCATGGTTGAGATAAGAAACCCATATTTAATTAATGTGGGGAAAAAGCTAATGGTGATAGATAATTTTATGTGTACACCTGGTAAACCTGAAAAATCAGATTTTCTTTGTTAGACACAATTCCCAGCATAACTGGGACTATGATAAACTCCTATTCTGCTGACACTGAAAATGAAAATGTATTACCAGTAAGTAAAAGAGAAAAAGAAAACAAATAAGTTATGAAAACATGTCTCCAATTGAAGCAGCCCTATTACAAAATGTTACTGCAATCACACACTTTCAAATAAACTGTGGATGGAGTTGTATTGGTTTTTTGCACTGTGTTACAGTAACATATGCATTGTAGATACAACTTTTCCTATGTGGAAAGTATGGAAGCCTCATGATGACTGTCTTGTAGGGTAAGGGGGAAAGTGCTTGTAGGTATACCAAACACATGGGAGGTTTCCATACTGTTAATGCATATAGATGTGGGTTTTATGGGTTTTTTGCTGGTCCTAAATAAGCCGGTGTAATTGTAATGGGGAAGGGGGGGGAAGTCACCATCATGTGGATGTGTTTCTAGTGGAGTCCAAAGGGAATTTGTTCTTGGACTTATACGATGACCTGGAAGAAAACATAAAATCATTATTAATAACCATTTGCAAATGACACAAAGAGCCAGGGAATACAAAATGATAAAGAAGACAGTGTCCACAATTCAAGTAGGATGTTGAAAGACTGAGGAGGGTTCACAAAACTATGAAAATAACGCAAGGATTAGACATCATACTTTTATAATGAAAAAATAAAAAGGGACATATATTTAGCTTAACAGCAAAAGTCACTAAGGGAAAATATGATCAAGAGTTCTTCACTCTAACAGATAAAGGTATTATTCAATGCAATGGCTGTTGAAGCTAGACAAATTCAGACTGGAAATAGGTACAAATTTTTACCAAGGTTATTAACCATTAGAATAACTTACAAATAGTTAAAAAGGGTAAACAAGATGATCCAGGTGATCAAGGTTAATACCTATTCGAATAATTTACCAAGGATTATGAAGGATTTTCCATCATTGTAAATGTTTAAATCCATATTGGATTTTTTAAAAGATATACTCAAACAAGAATTAATTCAGGGAAATCCTATAGCCTGTGTTATGCAGGAAGTCAGATGATCACAACAATCCCTTCTGGATTTTTTTTAATTATTGAGCATTTCTGTACTCCCTGGGTTTATCCAGATGGCACAAGGATGCAGACAATATGACAATAATCTCTTTACTGTACTCCCTGCATAGCTTAAACCATATACTTTATTTAAATAACACACACATTGACACACCAGAGTAATATGCATAGCAGCTCTGATACTTCTGTAATTGGTGTTTTATTGTCACAGCACTTTGGTTTTCTTAAATGGAAAGTTTATGCCAGTGAGTAGGGAAATGTCCATGTTTTCAACCCATTGCTTTGTGTGACTGACAGATTCACAGTTCAACACAGAGAGATAGTGAAGTGAAAAATCTCATTCATTTTCCTCATGTAGTACACAAGTACTCCAAAGAAATGGGTCATAAAGTTTTTAATGAATCTCATCTTTAGTTACAAACCTTTACTGTTAATGTCCCTTGTTGCTTGAAAGCTGTCTTATTAATACATTATATCAGAAGTATAATCCCTTTTTGGCTTTTGAACAAATTATTCGCTGAAGGGAATGAATTAAAACATTGCTGGGGGAAAAAAATCTGCTCTGTAAGCTGCCCAGATGTCTAATGCATTACACCTGATTAATAGGGCTATCTATGGCACTGAAAAATTTAGGCTAGACATGGTTTTGTTTCATTTTCAGCAGGTCAGTCTACCTCCTCAACTGTGGTACAGTTATCCATTACTGCCAGTGATTGTGTTGACCCTCAGAAAATACAGCTGCTGACATCCAAAGGAGGAGATGACCTGTTCATAATCTAATGGAAATGCCTTTTCCCCACTTCACACATAAATTAAGAAGAAAGTCAGAATAAAGGTAGCTGAGGCAGACAGTCATCTGAGAAAGGTCAAACTTTCTGCAATGGTTTTTTACTACATATACGGTGAAAGCAATTACCATGTATATTTTTTTTAATATTGTATGTTCAATGACAAGCTCTGTGACCAAGCTCCTTGTGTAAGGGAGTATTGTCATAAAATGCCATAAAAAAGATGAATAATGGAGCAGACTAGCACACTGCTCATGTTCATATTTTAGATATAAAGTTTAGCTATTTCAGCATTAAATTTAGTCAAAAAGTTAAAGCTATCCAGAGAAGCTTTTCCTAGGCCCAATGTAGCATTTAATAATTGTCTGCAACGCATTATAAATTAGGATTTTTTTTCAAAACAGTCTGGGACATATTAGACACTTCTATAACTTAAAATGTAATCGTTGATATTTATTCTGACCTGCTTCTCCTACTACAAGCACAGCGTCCCTTCCAAATCTGTGATACAAACTCTGTGATAGAAATTCTCCTCAAAAAAGGTTTATTAAAAGTTCAATTAATATACAGAGCTAGTTTAAAAACAAAATTCTATTCCCATGGAATATTCTGAGATTTCAAAATTTTGTTTTATCCCAAATCAGATCAAAAAGTAGATGTATCAGATTTTATGTATTTATTTTTGAAAAATTAAATATTTAGTTTGAACTAGAGCAGAAAGGGAAAATGTTGATTAAAAGCCTTGTGGTTTTAAAAATATTGAGTTGAAAGTGTCTATTTTCCTGGAGATGAATAAGTTTCTATGAAACTGTTTGAAGTAGAAGGAAAAGAGAAAGAAAGAATAGCCTATTGCCTCATGGTTGTGGTACTCACCTAGGATATCAGAGATCTTGGGTCAAGTCTTTATTCTACCTAATTCACACTTTCAGTATCTCCTGATGGAGCTTAAATAATTAAATATTCAGTGAGCCAGAAAGCCTGAATCTGTATTCTAGTGCTTAAAGCACTCATCAAGTCCCTGCTCTGTGTCAAGTAAAATAGGGTATGTCTACACTACCACCCTAGTTCGAACTAGGGTGGTAATGTAGGCAACCGGAGTTGCAAATGAAGCCCGGGATTTGAATTTCCTGGGCTTCATTTGCATATTGCCAGGCGCCGCCATTTTTAAATGTCCGCTGGTGCGGACTCCGTGCCGTGCGGCTACACGCGGCACGGACTAGGTAGTTTGGACTAGGCTTTCTATTCCCAACTACCGTTACTCCTCGTTCTACATAGTTACTTTAACTTCATTTCCCATTTGCCAGCTGAGTGCCCTGAGTGCCATTTGGCCATTGGATATGCTGGGTTCTCTTTCTTTCAAGGAAAATGTCTATGAACATTTCTAAAAGGTCTTAGTTTTGTTCCAGTGGAGTATGAAAGCCAGTTCTGAAACCTCAACCATTTTTTTTTAAATGAAGTTCTTTTTTTCTGGCCAGTCCTTGTTTCAACCTTGATTCAATATGGTCAAAATAAAATATAAATAACCAAAATGATAATGTCCTGTTAGTACGAGAAGTTGGTCCAATAAAAGATATTACATTTGCCTTCTCTAATATCCTGGACTTGACAAAGTCATGACCACACTATGCATAATGTCAGAATGAAACATTTCAATTTTATCTAAATAAACTCTGGCAATAATTTCCTGCAGAATTGACATTTTCTGATGGAAAAATGTTCTGTCAGATTTTTTTTACCAACTCTAATAATATGTGACTATGGAGTGGGGACAGGACAAGGTCTTCCTTCTACAATGTGCTGTAAAGGTTACTGTATAAAGGTGCCTGCCAGCCAGTTATATGCAAGAGCTGTTGATTTCACTTGAAACAATGTCAAATAGAATTGTTAACTCTTGTGACAACGGGAAAAGGCAACTATATGGTTGTGACATCCAAGAAGAATGTCCATTTCTCTGTTGTACTCTTAATATGCCATTTTTACTAGCGTGGTCTAGTGGTATTTGGGGAGGAGTACTGATAAATCCTAGATTCTTCCTTTTAAGTGCAAAAATGCATAAGTCCCTTGTGCAGGTTCATAGAGGAGCTTTGTGTAAGCAGACTTCTCCCCTTCTTTGTGGCCCACCCAAGAACAAATGACAGAATCAGCCCTCTGAACAGTCCCACCTCGCATCGCCTACTCCACCAATGTGGGGAGCAAAATAGACACACCAGTGTGGTTCTCCCTAACAGCCTTGAAAAGAAATAACAATCTAGTTCTTAATAATTTTATGGGAATAGCAATTTCTGCACAATCTCAAAAGCAGGGGTGGCCAGCCAGTTAGACACTAAGAGCCAAAATAGCTGTGGATAGTAAAATAAAGAGCCATGTACCCTCCCCCACAGCCAGGCAACCCCAAAAAATTAAGTACCCCAGAGCCAGGCACCCCCAGTCTCTCTGCTCTAACCCAATGCCCCTCCTCTCCCCCAGAGTCAGGCACCCCCAGTCCTCCCTTCTGCTCTAACCCAATGATTTTTTATTATTTTGTAATTATGCCTCCGAGTTGCACAATTTTTACTGTGGAACGACTGCCACCACTTGAAATCATTGCCCTTAAAAATAATTAGCCATCAAGTGAAGCCAGTGGAAAAGAAAACCAGCACCCCACATTTATCAAAGTACCACTCAGTAATTCTTCAAATTTAGGACTCATGGGTGTTACAGAGAAGCCTATGTCATTGCATCTCTCAGCCTGGTTCATTCTAAAGGGATGAGCTGGGGAGGATGGTTCAGGCTTGATTGAAACATTTCATGCTCAACAGATCCTGTAGCTACAACACTCAATGGCTCAGGGATTTCCTGCCTTTCAGCATGCATCGACAGATCACTTCAATCCCACTGGGAGTACGAATATGCTTGCACCAGCCACGGGTCCCTTTGCGAGTCAGGTTCTTTGGCTGATGTTCATTCCCACATTCCCTGGTATGTATTTGCCAGTTGCTCCAGGGTGACATCTGTGCAGGAAGATGCCTGCAGGTCTGAAGGACAGGCAGGTGCTTGGAGGCTGCTCCAAAGCGGAATTTTGGATGAAAGGATGGAAATTGTCTTCAGCTGCAAAGGGAAGGCTGCGATGTGCAGTAGTAGAAAAGATCTGCTGCCAGGAGACCTCACTAGAGCTGCTGCTGCTGCCGCCACTGCTGCAACCACATACTTCTCCCTCTAGGCCCTGGTGTGCATGTGCAGAGCAGCCGTAGGCAGTCCAGGAATGCAGCTTTAAACGAGCCATAGCCCTAAGAGACACATTTCTTTGAGCAAAGAGCCACATACGGTTTGAGAGTCGCGGGTTGGCCACCTCTGTTTTAAAGTGTCCTGGTTGGTCCAAGACTAGAGGTGTGACTGAATAAAAAGAACGAGCTCTTTTTGTTATGTGGTATGCACAAGTAAAAAAAAAAAGTCTCTATATTTTGCTTGCTGAAGGTTGAACTAAATGAAATAAAATAAGAACTTTATAGTCTCACCATATGTCCTTTCCCACTACAAATCCTCAACTCTGTCCAATATTTAAACTTTTTTTGAATTCTAAAAATATTCAGTTAAGATTTCTTCACTATTGTACACAGGTTTTTCACTTTCTATCCTTTTCACCTGCAGGCTCCAGATAAAACCAGAACTACTAATACAGAAGAGAAAAGTGTGGCCCATGGTGGAGGGGAGACATTGGGAGAGAGGGAATGTAAAGGAAAGATTTACTGCATCCTAAGCTCCATGAAACCTGCACATCAGTGCAAGGACCTACACATTCAGTTTGCATTATACACTAAATGATACTGACCCAAAGCATTACAGTTCAACTTTTGGCAAATGGTACCAATCTGTAATATAATATACTAGTTTACAGTGGTGGCTAACTATTCTTCTACCACTGAACAGGAAACTTTGAGTGATAACCAGAGAACAGCCTTCTGCACAGTGCACATTAACGTTGTACTGCTGAAAAATCAGTAACATTATGGTTTGCAAACTGAATAATGCCATATTTATTCCTCTGGGTCAATGCTTTAATATGGGTTATTGTATCTATCTCTATTTTTTAACTAAAAGGTAAAAAAAGAAATGTCCCACTAACTCTGGATGTGCTACAGACCCATATAGCCCACCCTACTTCCATTTGCAGATAACAGGAAAAAACTGTCCCTAAGCAAAAATTAGAGTTTTCATCAGGTAAAATAAATGTATATAGGCTGTTCCATGTGTCATTTCTTGTATTTTTGAAAACATTAAAATTACATCTCATGTTTTAGATAGTTTGTGTTACTGTATTGTTATATGAATTTTTTTTAAAGGAGTAACAATTATGGAAAGGAAATGTTATCTACATTGTTTCTTAGTTCTGTTGCATGTCCCTGACATGACAGAGTTCTTGGCCTTTTTTGCTTTATAATTGATAGAATCCTATCAGCATGAATGTCTATACTGGCATATTAATTTGTAGAGATAACAGGTTAGTTGGGAACAGCATATTAAGAAAGGCATCAAGCTAATACTTTCTCTCATCAAATCTACATACTTCTCCTGATCCCTTCCAGACAAAGTTCAAATTTTCTAGATGCAGTTACTAATCACTGATAAACATTGATAGGCTGAGTGTGAATGGTGAGACAGAATTCTGAGGACAGTCCCATGAGGACTCAGTCTAACCATAGACTTCCTGTTTGTCTAGTTTGACTTTGTTGATCTTAACAAGAATTCAGACTCTTAGAATCGGTGAATATATAAATAGTGATACCTGTCTATCTGAGGTTGGTATGCCAAAGTGAACCAAGATATTTTCAAGCAGAACAATTATGCATATTAAAAAGAAATCTTAATCCATTCTATATGTCTAATGGTGACATCTCATGAGGAGAATTTTTATTTTCTTTCATCATGGTACTCTAAGCAATACAGTATTTATGCAATAATTAGGGCTTGTAATTCAGTTGTGCCTGATAAAATCTGCAGCTAAACTGTATAAGAGTTTAAGGGTATTTCTACATGACAATAACAAGACTCAGCTTGATGGACTTGGAGTTGTGGGGCTATAAAATTGCAGTGGAGACATTTGGAATCAGGACAGAGCCTGGGTTTTGAGCACCCTTACGGTCTGTTTTAGCCCTGCAGCACAGAACAGCTGACCTAGGTCAGCCACAGCTCCTTCCATGGGTCTATTATTATAGTGGCAACATACTCTAAGGGGCTTATATTAAACTTCAATTCTTACTATTTTTGTAATGAACTGTGCCTGGAATTACACCAATTTTGGCTCAATATTACAAAGCAGTGAAGGGCAACCTAAGCTGCATGAGAGGCGCTTCATCTCAGTGGGCTAAAAGGTTGTTGTAACCAAGACAGTCTCCTGGGATAGCTCGGGTAACAGCGCTTCTGTACTTAAAATTTGTGAGTTATGCTGATTATACCATAGCAGCACTTTGATTGGATGCAAGAGGAGCGCACAGTTTATATAATGTTGTGTGCAATCAGCATGCACCTCCTTTCACATGCCTTTGCTTTGTGTGCGGATGAAAACCAGCAAAAACTGGCAACACTGTGCATGGTCCGTGGTGAACAAAATGTCTCATAGGCCACACATAAAACCTCAGTGAGCTGCAGATTGCCCTCCATTGTTATAGAGTACTATATATCAGGCTTTAGGTGAGTTTAAGTTACATTTGCAAATGTGTTGCATCCTGCCTTTTCTTTTTCGTCATTAACAAAAATGTCATAACAACACAAGATAATTTCTCGGTATCTGGATGTGAAAAAATAAAGGTAGCTCTTTGTATTTCAACTTTGAAGCCAGATTGGTTGGAACTCTCTCTCTGACTACAGACCATGGGCCAGTGGGGAGACCCGCATGTGGAACACTTTCAGAGTTGTCAGCCGACGGTCAGGGCAGTGTGTGTGTGTATGTTTCCGAGAAAAGGTTTAACGTCCGTGTCTTTACTGCTAGGACCGGGGTCCCGTCGCAGAGGGTGGCCAGCAGGCCAACAGATGCCCCGTTATATAGGAAGAGCTTATTACACCTTAGATTTTAGCTGCTAGAACACAGGGGTTCCTTCGCAGCGGGCAGCCTAGGAAAGGCTGAAAAGGTGCCCCAACGGATCTTGTCACCTGGGAGTGACACAGATCCAAACGCCCAAGCTCTTCCTATGCCTGTCCCTTTATGACCGGCTGAAGTTCTTTTAAATTGTGCTTGGTTCTATTACAGCAACTGAAGGAGTCAGGTTAAAGCTTAAACAGTTACAGGTTTATTAAAAGACTTATAAAAGCATATGGTTACAATGGCTATTGCTCTCTTTCTTAACTGTTAACAAATACAGATTTTAAAAATGGTTACAAAGAAAATAAAGATAGAAAATAGAAATAATGGTACCAAGTGACAGTTTAATCTTTAAAGAGCTCTAAGTCTATGTGTACACTTAAGACAAAGGACCACATCCAGGTACAATTTTTACCCCTTTCTGTGCCTCTCGACTCCAGCGTGTCAGGCCAGGGCCGGTCTCTCAATTCCTAGGAAAGACGAATACGAGGTGGGCGTCCCCTCTAGAACCTCGGGAGATCAAACACCTAACCCGACCAGCAGATAGATGGTAGATTGACACTCAGAGAAAATGTGCTGCTGGACCCATCTATATACCCCTGGGGGCCCGTATCCTCTTTCTTATCTAAGATGCCAAATTGTACTGGTCCATTTTGTGGCACCAGTTCTTACAAGCAAGTTTCAAGTTAATTTACACTTGCAAGAGAGATAACTAAATTGTGAGTACTAGACATTTTTTTTTACTGGGCGAGAGATTCCTCCCCCCGTGGACGGCTGTGTGTTCGTATCAATATGGGTTAAGTCAAGGACACTCCTTGGCAGCCTCTTGGTCAGCAATTGGCATATCTCTGTTTACAGCCATTCACGGTCACACAGCCTGGGCCTTCTGCTCTGTGTGCCCTGTATGCTCCAGGCAAGCAAAAATGGATGTTACAGGGGGGTTCCTGTCTGGCTACATTGTATATCTCATTTATAGATTTTTATTTTTGTGTGGTTTACGGAGAGGGGCAAAGGTTTAAGGCTGGGCATTGGCGAGTTGAGAAGAAAAGCCACTGTTACAAGTATCACATTGCTAACTGATGAAAGAGACAATACAACTGTTTCCCTCATTCAACAAAGCTGTAGACAGCAATAGTCATAATAGATCAGAGCAGTAGACTCTAGTGACATAACTCCAACAGACAATAGCAAGTTGTATCATAAATAAATATTCTAGGACAATACAGAATATTATAAATGAAGCAGCAGCAGCTGCTGCAAACACAGCCATGTATAACAGAAAGGGAATTTTGTTGCTGTGACAGCTGATCACATAATTCCCTTAAAAATGTCCATTCCGTATGAGCAAAACTTTAGTATTTAGGTTTTATTTCAGTCCTAACTCTCTGACCTGCTCTAGCAACACTCACATGAGTTTTGTACTTTGGATAAATACGTTTGATCATCTTGACTTGATATTTATTCCATCTCCTGCTATAGTTCCAGAGGGAATCTCTCTGCAAATGGAAAAATCACATTTGAAATTAACAAATTTCAGTTTTTCAGAAAGTCTGAAGACAGGCTTAGTACAAAGTAGATTGTTAATGTGTATAAGATGTTTTAAAATGTAAGTACAATTAACATTGGAAGCAAAGAATAAACAAAGCTAACGAGGGGGAAAGCATTTTGGATCATGTAACCATATTGGAAGATAAGGGTGGATTTTTCAGTTATTTAAATTATGACACCTTGTGCTTAGTATACATGTTAATTATAGCAGTTCATAAAAAACACAGAGGAAATTAGTGCTAGCCATACATTTAAAAGTTATGTTTTTCTTTAGTTTTACTTTAAAGAACAAGGTAGAATCTATTACCTAAAACACCCTTCCAGCACAGCATGAGAGCACCGGCCACTTCTATTTACCATGCCACTTTTAATATAATTCAATTTGACATAAAGACACATATTTATTATCTTGCCTCTGCCTACCAGTCTGAGTTTCTTCCTTAATGGATTCAACAGTAGCAGCCGTGTTGCCCAAAATGGAAGAATTGATCAGTCTGATTTTCAGATTCCCAGTGCGACTGACCTTAGCTAAAGAGAGAATAGCATTTTGCAGAGACAATAAAAGGCTCAGTGTCTGTGCTGGATGGACCGGTACAAGTGCATGTTTCTGTAACCTGACTGATCTGTCAATTTAGATCAGTAATGCCTGATACCAAAAGAACAAGACTATCAATTAAATTACAAAGCTATCCTCTGGCCACAAATTTACCTTACTATCTAGCACATACAGCTAATGAGAAGTAAGACTATGGCACTTGGATCTGATTGACACAACTATCCATGGATAGTCACTTCTAATTCATTCTTAAATTAAAAACACCTTTTTGTGTTTTGTTAATGGCAAAGATTATAGACCTATTCTAAATGGGCTAGATGAGAATTCTTCCACCTGACATACTTCAGCGGTGCTAAGTGATTTTTTTTTCCCAAAAGCACCTAAGTGACTTAAGAGCCTACCACCTGATTTATTCTCCAGAATTAGGTCAAAATAAAGCAGTTTACATCAGCCTAACTCTGTAAGCATCTACTCTAAAAACTGACACCCACCAAAGTAACTCACCCAGACTTTCCAGTAGGGGAGAGGGGGCAAAGAGGGCAACTGTATCCATCCCCAATGGTTCAGAGGGACCCGGGGATCCAAGCCCTGTAAACCATTGCCAGAGTGCAGCATGGTGTTCTCTGGGCAGCTTTTTCACCTCCCTGGAGATGTGGGGGTGCCATACTGCAAGATCCAGGTAGCACTTGGGGAAGGGACACCACAGTCCAGGCAGCACTGAGCACAGGTTGCCCTCAGCCATGCCCCATTCACCTGAGGCCACACCCCTTCTGGGAGCATGAGGCTTGACATGGCTGTTGTCTCCCCTGAACTCACCCATGACACTAGCTTACTAACTCCATCTCTGCAAGAGCCATAGTGCTTAAGTCGATGCAGTTAGTTAATGCAATGTTAGTGTAGATATAGTATTGCTTACGTTGATGTTTCTGCCTGTGATGGAGTGAACTCATCCTAGAGTGGATGGCAAAAGGTTAACCCCTCTTTGTGATCTGAGAAAACCCTAACTCCATGGGCCAGCTAGGAGCCATATTCCATGTACAGCA